TGGATTTTTCAAAATGACAATTTCAGAAAAATGAAAATTGAAATGGTACGTCAGAATTGGGATAGTGGAACTACAACAATGTTCAAACTAATTTTTTGGACTATTCAGAGATAATCGCATTAGTCTTAAACAAAACCTGATACAAAAAAATTTCTTAGCCTACAATTCGAAAAAAACACAAACTTCTGGTTTTAATTCAATTGTTCTTGACCAATCGAAAATACTTTTAAGGACACCGAATATAAACAAATTTTTTTGTTTCAAAACTTTCAGCCTGTCGATTATATGTTAAACACAAAATTTCTATTTTACTATTTCTTGAATTACAGATAAATTTCGAATTTTCAAAATCAAAACATATCTAAGAATACTAATTAAACAAAGCCTCATATATATTGAAAAGATTAGATGCTTTGAATTTTGGAAAATTATTGTTTGTCTCAGAAGAGCGTAATGAAAATGCATTTTTTTTTTGGAATAATCTATATTATTGAGTTAATTAAATTTTGATATTAGCAAGTATTGAAGTTAAAAATTATAATTATCGACGAAGTTATATCTCACACGTTCATCACCTTAATTAAAATCATTTGTTTATAAACTACTTCCAAAAAGAGAAGATTCCCTACCGTATTAGAAGTCCTAGTACTTCTATTAGGTCTAGATAATATCACTTTTTCAAGCAAAGCTTCGTAGATACTATTAAATTAGTCTTAGTCAAGCGCTGTCTTGCGTATAGAAAATGTTTCTCCAGACATCAAATACTCATGATTAAGAATAATCTCTAGAAATCATTTTCATTTTTCGTCGACGTTTAAGATAATGGTGACTATCTATTCTGTAACTGTCACTTTGTCTAGGAATATATATTTTCTCTTCGATAATAGTCACATCGCGAAATGAAAAAAAGGTTTCAGAATATAGGCTTCTTTACTAGTTTTGAAGCAGCCAGAGGTTATGGTATGTGTTGTTTATCTTCTTTCATTTGAATAGGTATGAATCTGAAAAATTTTCAACAGACTACAGAACTTTGCTTTTGTTTCATTAAAGTCCTATATCATTGTTCCAGTCTCGATATATGTAAATTGGATGAATGTTGCTGTACAATTCCTGCAGTTTTATTACGTCAAAATTTTTTGAATTTTTGTTTAATACTTTTATTTTTGGTTTATTGGATAATCATTTAAAATAGGCTCCTACGGTGAAAATCTATAAGAACGACTTTCGATTTTAAAAGATTTCTTCGGAAATCATCATGAGTTTCTAGAGTTCTCTAACGGAAAGGCTAATACCTAAAACCATAAGAAAATTATAAGCGCTACTGCAGTAACGGTTCCTTATCATAGTCGAACATGTAGCTACAAGGCTACTTGATAACACTCGGTCCATGTCGTAAAAATGGCTCATAAACAACGAAAAACGACTGTCGTTACAATGATCGTTTACATACCAGCGGAAATAACTTTCGTTACGGCCACCGTTCTTTTGCCGTTTCGCACTAGTTTTTATCATTTGAACATAAGTGTCTTAAAATCATCATTAGACACTTTCTGATAGTCTATAACCAATTGATCATTGTCTACTAAAAAAAATTAATAATATATTTTTATTCGGATTCCTTTCGCCGTCTAGTTCAATAGTAAATATTTTACTTAAATAAACCAATTTTGTTTCTTGTGTTTACGGAAGGTGAGAAGGAGAGAAAAAAAATCGTATTCCTCTTCACTGAGGAGATATTTATGCGAATATAATGACAAATGACCGTTAACGACTGTCGTATTGCTCGCTCAAGGGCACTAGATAAACAGAGCCGTAAACGAGAAAAGAAATAGTGTAAATAAGACACTATACGGCGAGAATGTGTTTCTGATACTATTCATCGTTACTCGCCGGAAACCACCTTAAACGGCATCGTTTACATTTCGAAGAAAAACGACCCGTAATCCAAACTGACGGAAAATAGTGAAAAACGGCGGTTATTTTTCATCGTTTAGGGCAGGAATCATGCATTTCAGACAGTCGGAATGATCGACCGAGGTAGATGAATTTTTAATTGGCACATAATATAATTATATTTTATGCTCGTGTGAGAAAGTTCCTCACGTAAATATACAAAAAAGATGTTCGCGCGTCTTTCTAGAGATTAATTTTTGCGTAAATTGTCGACTTTCGAACAAATTTCTTTTCAACAATGTTCGCTCTAGTGAACTGTCGTTTTTTTTCTTCGATAGATAGATGCATTCCGTTTCGGATGAGGGAAAGAAATTTCTTATTCAACCCTTGATATCAACATGATCATGAATTTTCTAGAAAGCATTACCTAAGATTTTGAGAACATCAAAATCAAATAAAAAGAACTCTTTTCTTCATCCGAAGTGGTAAGAAATTCTCGTTGAAATGAGAGTGTGTAGAGTGCTGTAGCTTGATGCATAAAAAAAAGTTTACACGTGAAAGACCTATTTTGCAGTATGACTCCCGAAAATATGCTGAGCAGAAAAGTTTGAAGCCTTGAAAGTTTTTTTTTGTTATTTGTGTACTTTCATTAGTCAAGCATATCCAGAAAGTTTCACGAAAATCCATTTTGGAGAAGGTCATGAAAATATTGAATACAGCACCAAGTGAAATATTCAATTTTTTGGCTACTTCACTCTATGATGGACCGTAATATCGTTGTAATCATTAATTGAGGTTTTTTTTTTATTCAATATAAGATAATGTTGTAATCTCATGGCTTGTTCTGTTATGTACAGTTATAATAAACAATGAACAGGACTTTTTGTATATCAGTCAGAAATTATGAAGAGGAGAAGGTAGATATGTACAACATAATCCTGGTGGGACGGGGATCGGGAATAACAGTTTCTTCATTTGAAGTGATATCTTTTATGATTATGTAAGAGTTGAGTCAAATGTTATATTCTCACAACACGCGTGGTGTAAAATTTTATACGAAAATTATTAAATAACGATCACTTCACTAGTTGATGTTAAAATTTTGATAGTAAAATCAATCCTTTTGTTCATAAACAACAGAGACGTTAGAAATCATGCAAGATGTCTCGAGTATACTAACACTGCTAGAAACTCATATCGACTTTTTTCGTTAGTATGTGCATTACTAAGCGTGAAATCAGAACCAAATTTTTTTTCTCAGTGAAACGAAAAATGATTGGTTCCTTTCATTACAAGGGGAGAAAGGAAAAAAAAAGGTGCATATGTATTTATTTAAAAGAGGTTAAATTTAGCAGTCGGGATTGTAAAAATAATGTTTACGTTCAGAGTAGGGAAATGTTCATGAATAGAGATTTTATCTTAGTTCAATTTAACTTTATGATTATTATTATTGTATTCAATACACATTAATGTGTATGTACAACTAATATAATTGATGAAATCAAATAAGTTCATATGAATAAATATCTAAAAATACTTATTCAATCGATTACTTATGTAAATAAATCAAATTCATCTATTCTCGTGCCGTGCAAAAAAGACAAAAGAAAACTTCTTATTAAATAAACAGTGATCACTACTACTTATAGTCCGAACAATTAAAAGTACGACTTAGAATTTTACTTTTTTTTAATTTCATGATTATGTGTTGTTTTTTTTTTATATACTATAGACTGATATAGATTGGTCATATATTTACTATTATAATCCTATAGCCATCCTCTACCTATACTGTATAACTTGAATTTTTATCTTTACGTATATTTGTATATATAAATTCAACTGTAGTGATTTTCAACATTTGATTTTCATTTGTACATTACACTTTGTTTCATATATTTTTTTTTATCGCACGTATACATGACACTGTGTGCTAATATATTGCCGGATAACTTTTAATACTACGCGGTCTTTTTTGTATTATGACATATAGAGTTGACCTGTTTGTATAGAGAGACCATAGCCACTATACCTTCAGGTGAGCTCTATATGTCATAATACAAGAAAGAAAGCGTAATATAAAAAGTTATCCGACAATATATTAGTACACAGTGTCATGTATACGTGCGATGAAAAGAAATATATGAGACAAAGTGTAATGTGCAAATGAAAATCAAATGTTGAAAATCACTACAGTTGAATTTATATATACAAATATACACAAAGATAAAAATTCAAGGTATACAGTATAGGTAGAGGATAACTATAGGATTATAATAGTAAATATATGACCAATCTATATCAGTCAATAGTATATAAAAACAAAACAACAACACAATCATGAAATTAAAAAAAAGTAACATTCTAAATCGTACTTTTAATTGTTCGGACTATAGTTAACCCTTTATATGTCATTATAAAATTCTAATTTTTTAAAATCATTACGCAACTTATGTCTAGAAGTATTATAATTATTCATTTAGATAGGAATCAAATTGTCATGACAGATATATATCTTCAAAATAGTATTTTTTTCACTTTCTTCTACACCTTTACAAATTTTATGGTAGAATAGACGAAGAAAAAATACTAAAAAAAAAAACAGCTTCAACATAACAACCTTGAGTTTTTTGTATAGATGGTAACTGAAAAATAAATATACTTGATAGAAAATACTTTCGATTTATCACATGATTATACTTAATATTGAGTATTTCATCGATTTACTTTGACAATTAGTAATTATTATAATATTATTATTATTATTATTAAAAGTAGACTGATGTAATTTAGTTAATAACTATTGAATTGGTAGGTCATATTAAAACATTGAATCTGGCAATGGTTTTTTTTTTGTTTGTTCTTTTTCCATAATGATTAATTTTTTTTTTCTTTATCATTCTATACCATCAACATGCACACCTGTTGTTGTGTCAAGTAAAACAAATATTGTTCCTTTCTCGTTCTCTTCCTACTTATGGACGATAAAAAAAAATAAATTTCAGAAAGGAAAAAAAAACCCGATCTCATATAAAAAAATGTTGACTATTATGTCAATAAACGCTCAATAGCAACCAACATTCTGATAGTTGCTATTTTTCGTTAATATGTCTCGTTCCTCAAAGAAACATGTACACTCAAAACAAAAGGTAAGAACTTTTAGTTCATTTAATAGTATAAAATTCTCTTAGAACAAAAAAAAAAAAAATTTTTTTTTTTTGTTTTTAAATGATTCAGAATATTCAAGTTGATCATGATGAAGACAATAATAATAAAGTTATATTACATGATATAATTAATCAGTCAAATAAAAAGAAAAAGAAAAAAAGACGACGTAATTCAACATTAACAATAGATCATACAATAGCATCAGTTAATAATAATATTGAAATAAATATTCAAACATCATTAACTGAAAATTGTATTATATATAGAAGTAAATGTCCATGTGATACACATTATAATAAACAATTAATTGAACATAATTATGATTTACCAGTTGATAAATTATTTGATTTAATATTTGGTTCAAATGAATTTGTTCGAACATATCGAAAAGCTCAACATTTCTTTGGTTAATATTTTAAATAGGATTATTTCTAAAATTTTTTGTTTTTTTTTTACTTTTGTATTATATTTAGATCAGACAGAAACTGAATGGTTAATAAATGAAGAAACAAATTATTATGAACGAATACTTGATTATAAAGTACCATTTGAAACTCGATTACTTGGTAAAAGCACAATTATTACACGTGAAAAACAAGTTAGAATTTTTGTTTTTCAAAATTTTTGTTTAAATGTAATTAAATATTTATTTGAAAATAAAAAATTTAGACACGTTTTCATCATGTGCCTGGTTCTCATTATGTAGTCGAAACTGAAGTGTGTAATCAAGGTATTAAATTTAGTGATACATTTGCACTTATTATACGTTTTTGTCTTATTCAAATATCATCAACAACATCTAATCTACTTGTAACTGCTCGAATTCATTATATTAAAACAGTTAATGGTTTTATAAAACGTTTGTTTATGATTTTTATTTAAATTATTAATTTCTTTAGAATATATTTTTTTTTTAAATCTTTATCATTAGAATTTATTGAACGAAATGCTTTTTCAGCATCACAAGATGGTTTAAAAGATTTAAGTATGAAAATAAAATTTATTTGATCGAAGTAAAAGAAAAACATATGATTTATTTATTTATTATAGATGTTCGTCTTAATACTCTTCAAAATTCTTCTATGGGTAAATACGAAAAACAAAGAAGAAGAACTTATATGTATTTTTAATTCTTTCTATTTTTTTAAAGACAAACATTGTTTGACTAATGGTGAAGTAACATTAGCAAAATCTATTATCGATCATGTTCGTCGTATCAGTCAACCTGATATACATTCTGTACATCAACCATTATCTAATAATAATACAAATATAGGAAGTTCTTATGAAGATAAATTTATGTATATTCTTATATTCTTGTATGAAATAAATTTTATTTTTAAATTAAATTAAAATTTATATTGTTTTTATTTTTAGGGTTGGTATTCTTTCTATAATACATATTTATTTATATTATAAACTTACACATACAGATTATCTACTTGATAAATTAACTAATTTATTAAAGATGTAAAATGAATCTCTTGGTTATCAAAAAAAAAAAAAATTATTTTTCTATTTGTTTATTTATTGAAAATAAACGAGCAAAGAAATTGTTTATTACATTTCATCAACATTCCAAAGGAATGATCATTTATTCTTTTTTTTTTTTTGTTTAAGAAAAATCCTAGACAATGCTTTTAGCTTTTGAAGAGTACCGAAAGGCTCTGTTTATTAAAACGCATGACATTTTTGATTACATATTTTTGGTTTTTTTTACTCCTTTTTCATAGAAAACAAAATCATTATAGCATAAGCGAATAAACCACAGTACGACATAAGATTGGAAGTGAAACCTTTTTATGCCGATGCAAAGCACTGTATAGTAATTCCTCGCGTCTTGTTTTTTTCTTCCTCGACACACAAGTCGCAATTGCTGTTTTGTTGCGCAATTATCTAAAGGTCAAAGAGTTGTACGATTTTCATGCGCATGTTATTACAATATTCTATGTTCTTATATGATCAAATTTTTTTGTTGAAACTCCAATTTCAACGGTAACAGTGAGTGTTCATCAGATAGAATGTTACTGTCATCTTTCGAAGATCTTGTTAACATTTGTATTCTATTTTCTCTTAGTAATAGAGAATCAGAATGAATTGAAGATTAAAAATGAATGAAAACTTAATCAAGAACTTTCGTGCACTAGAGTACTATGAATTTTATGGGTATTTGATATAGCATTTATTGATTTTCAATTAGTACAAAGGTCGATTGGTTTTGTAATAATTGATTTGTATTATATATAATTAAACATGCATTAAACTCATCATTCTACTTTCTATGATATAGAAACATGTTTTTTTTTTGCTAAATTTTTGACATTCCAACTAATTCGGAAGTTTTATAATTTCATAAACGATGAGTCGAGTTTAGGAATATGCTTCACAGCACGGGCTTCGCCTGTATGCCGTCCTAGTTTTAGACATTACTTGTAATAGCATTAATTGAAAATAACTTAAACAATCAGAACTTAATTATGTAGTATACAATTGTATTCTTAATACAACAATATTCATTATTCTATATTGATACATTTTTATTCACATATAGAAATGGATGATAAATTTATTGTTTATCATGTTTGATATTTTCTCAAGCAGACAGCAAAAGAATTATTGTTAATAAATCAAACGTATGTTATCTATGTAACAATAATTATTTCGACACCATCTAACATATGTTTTAATAGTAAAACATGACAATTTTTTTTCCTATGATTTATTTTGACACATTTGTAATATGTTTATTACTGTCACTGAGATTGGAAATATTTTTACATAAATTAATAAAATAAAAATACAAGATGAAAGTGAAGAGCTTATTAAAAATCTTTGATTATAAAATATTATCTAACTATTTACAAGTAAAATTAATTCATTATTTTTATATATCTAATTCGACTTTGAAGAATGATTATTTAACCTTGTAGAAATTAGTTGGTATCGAACTATGTTGAATAAAAGCAGAAATGTGTCTTTTTTTTTGTAATTCATTGTAAATTATTAATAGATCAGATGTTAACACATCTTTGTTTTTTTTTTTAGCATATTAATATTCTATACTTTCTAATTCCATCTTGAAGTTATCTCATTTGAAATGCTTGAATAAATCAATATAAAAAAGCTCTATGTGATTCAATGCAGAACAAGTAAAGTCAAATGAATAAATTAAACTATTGTAATCTACTGAATGTATATTTTTAATTCTCATAAAATATCTCTTATCATTAGTATACAATGATATCATTATTGATTTTAAGCTTTCAAGTTTTATATAATACAAGTTTTTATTTAAGCCTCGAAAGATGACGATAATTTAGTTTGAATACTTTTATGCTTGATTCATTTCTAATTTCCTTATTAACTTTCTTTTTGAATTATTTATAGTAAAACAACAAAATTAAAACATAAAATATCAGTACCTGATGCACGTATATGTCCAGCAGTTAGAAGTTATATTCATTAAAGCTGTTTTAATGTTTCACACTACAAATCAGAGAAGAGATCATATTCTTTATGATAATATGACATTCTATCGGACTTCTTCTAAACTAATCAGTTTTTTTTTTCCGATTGTTTTCGTAAACAGGAAAAGAAGATCATGTTATTCATCTGTTATTAACTTTATTGAACTCTTTGATCTTAGTATTTCTAAGAGACTGACCTAAAACTAAATGCATCTGTTAACATAACATATAGAACATCAAAAAAAAAAAAAAGCTGAGAATATAAACACAATCTTGATGATGATCTATTATGATAGAAACTATATGAAAAAGAAAACACGATGAACGAGATGAATTTCAAAAGAATGACTGCAATAGAATGTCTTTTTGAAAATTCAGCATATTACTTAATATTTTCGCCATCGATATAATCACTACTAAGTCGGATGAACTATAGTTTGACAACTTGTTTAACATCCGCTGTAATACAATTAGATGTAACACAATTCGTTAAAACGGTAAAGATATTGAATTAATTTTTGTTTTTCATTCTTGCCACTTGAAACGATTCACATTTAGCTATAATTTCTGGAATAACAGATAATCATTCGAAGGGTTTATCAAATTTATTTAGATATTTTATCATACATCATCGGGTGAATGTTTATTATACGCGAAAATGAAATTCTAATTCTTTTTTATTTTTGCAAAGATAAACTCGAGTAACGTGTAAAAATCGTTAGATTATGTAAGATACTGGAAATGCGAAATTAAATTAGAAGTTTATTTGTTTCTTTTCTTTATATACATTTAGATAGAGTGGGACGGGTTAATCAAGAATATGTGTTTTCAATTCTTCCAAATGAACTACTTTTTCTGAAAAAAACAGGCCAATTTTCGATTTTTTTTTATCTGCTTTAGATTTTAAAATTATTTGTTTTAGACTTAACATGAAAAATGAAATCTAGAAAACTCATTCGTAGATGAATGTCCTAGATTCATTTTTTTCACGCTAAATCTCAAACAAGCATTTTTGCAATTTAAAGGAAATTTAAAAAATCGAAAATCGATCTGTTTTGCAACAAAAGCAGGCCATCTGAAAAAAATGAAAATTTTCCTCTAAGAAAGACATTAAAAATGTATACCTTCTTGATCAACCTATTGCACTCTATCTAACCATATATAAAGAAAAGAAAAAAACCTTCTGCTAGAATTTTTGTATTTCCAGCACCTGAGATATATACAGAAATTCAAATTAAGATTTTAATTTGAACAATCTTTTATATAACGAAAAACCAAATGTTCGTAGGTACGTGAGAATTACGCATTATTTTATTCCTCTGTGCACATGATGGATTTTAATCTCATGAAAGTTTAATAACGTTAAAAAAAAACCTAATTCGTATTGACAAGCTGTCAGTATCTTAATAATTAATGCTCACACAAGATTTTCATCAAGTCCCTCGAGATACCTTTTGTTTCGTCTACATATCATATTGTTTTCTCTAGAGTCTAGTGTTCAATTAGTATGATTTATACAATACAATGTTACATGAATTTACATAAAACGATATCATGTACACATTTAGTTATTTCATAAACGAACTTGTTAAACATCCACTAAAAAAACAAGGCATACTGCTTGTTGACATAAGTTGTTGCATACAAATATTACTAACATCTGTTCGTGATTTTAGTTTTTTTTTTTATGATTCTAAACGAGAAGAAAATCGAATCAAGGTACTTTTTTTTAATGAAAATAAAATAGTTATAATTGAAAAATTAAGTATCTATTGTTCATATAATGTGTTTCTGAGAATCTTCCATTTATATATAGATTATTTGAAAAAAAAAAGTTTGTTTTCATATTATTTTGATACAATGGCACGTTTACAATAAATCAATATTGTTTGAGCTCCGATTTCCTTTGTTTTGTTGGTAAATTATAGGAGTAGGATCGATGTAACCAATGGTGTGAATTGCTTTGTTTATCATGTTTTATTCTTTTTTTTTTTTGTTTTGTTAATGTGTCGTTTGTCATCTGTTGAAAAATAGGATCTATATGGTAAAAGAAACAGAAAAACTTTTTGTACTGTATTACTCTATGATAATATTTAGAAATCAATGGAGAATTATTGAAATAATTATTCATATAGACATTTCGTTGAATGTATTTAGGTATTAAAATAGATATTTTAGATTTACTTATGAAAAGAATTTTTAATTCTGATCAAAATTCGTTACATGTTTATATATTGAAAGAAAAGAAAAAAGAAAAGAAAAAGAAAAAGAAAAGAAAATGTTTGTCAACTATATGAAAAAGAACGCACTTATCATCAGCCACAACAGTATAATCATAAAGGAAATGACGTCTAGCAAGAAAGAGAACGAACCATATGAATAATAGATCGAAAAAAAAAATCTATTATCGTTTAAGTCTAATGTTAATCTGTTTTCTACATTGAATCAAATGAAACTGTAATGACTGTACTTGATTGATAATATTTCACGTGAGTAGATCTCATTTTATCCTATTTATCATAAATAATTGCCATTTAATGTTCTGTTTTTTTTCTTCTATAAGAACAACAAATAAAAACTTGACATAAAAATTTTTTGTTTAATATTTTCTAATGAATTTATACAATATCATGGATATTAACTACAGCAGATATGATTTTTGATCATTTACAAAATATAGCTAGAAACCAATTATTCTCATTTTTTTTGTCATTTAACGATAAACGACGTTATATTTTTCTTTTGGTTTTTTTGTTTATACGTATAAATAAACTATTGCAGACCTCGATGTCTGTTTTTTTGTAAAATATTCACAAAAATAACCAATGCAATGTCATTGTCACGTCACTTATTTCTCCTGATATGAGTACTCAGTTGTATTTTTTTTTTCTTTATATCTTTTATGTCACAACCCGCGTGATATAATAAGACGTGTCCCAGATGTTCTGAAACGATTTTAGAATTCATCGATTTTATATTCAATAAAAAAAGAAAAAAGTAAAACTGTACAATTTTTGGTACACTGTTGCACTTACTTTATACTAAATAAGTAAAATGTTTAAGGTCTAGAACTTTTTATTACAGTTCAAAAAAAAAAAATTATAACAATACTGTCATATACTTTTCTAATGAATTTTCTTAACCTTCTTAGTTAATATTTTAAAATAAAAAGAAATATATATCAAATTATCATTATAATCGATTACTAATTTGAATCGTTCTGATATTTTATCTATCATTCGTTGACGTAAAAAAACAAATATTCAATTGTTTTCATGCCTTGTTCGAAGTTATTTTTTTTCCTTCAATATAATTACATTACTACCTTCGTAATTTTTTTTTCCTTTTAATGCATCCAAAAGATTTTCTATAGGCAAAATTTTGATTAGTTTTGTCACTCAATATTCTGTTTTCATTCAAATGATACAAAAAACATATTTAACAGCATCGTTTCTTTATGATTTTAATCATCTTGAAAAGGTATGTTTTATCAATCATGTCGTTCTATAGCTGCTTGTTTTCTTACAAAATTATTCGAATGAATCTTGTACATCTATTATCAGTAGATATATGACAGCTGTCAATTGAAGAATGGAACTATTAGTTTCCATTATTAGTTGTTGTTTTTTTTTTGAAAGAACTAAAAGTAGTGTCACTAAATATCTAATTTTATCACTTCCAGGTCATATCACTTAACCGCATAAGTATATACCAAAATGGAGCTGTCGGAAAGTTAGAGCTAGGAGAAAATTAGCTGTTCAATAACTCAGCTCAAGTAGAAAAATAATTGGTCACTACAATTTATGCTCTCGAAAAAGAACGGATCATTATAGCTGGTTGGGTCATATTAATCTGACTCGTAACTTATTTCGATGTAGACATATCTTTTCATGACAAGATAACAACTAAATATAGAGCAACAATGGGACATAGGAAATCACACCGCGAATAATTCTTTAGATGATGAACAAGAAAGAAAGACTCATCAAATAAGTTGAAAGAAAGGAATTTCATGACAGATGATTAGTGACAAGAGGAAAAAATCAAAACCTAAGTGCATGAGTATCATCAACTAAATAAGGAGAAGAACTTTTAATAATCTCATTTATAGAGGATGTAGATCATGAAATGAATTCTCAGAAAAAGAAATTACTAAAATAATACACGATATTCATAGTAACAGCTATATTTAGTACCCATTAGATAAAATAATTTTCTAAAGTTGCAGACAGTTATTTTTTTTTTTGCTGAATGTAAGAACGATAAAGTCTAAAATCGTTTCAAAACTTCTAGAACACTCTTTATAAACCAATGATGAGTAAAAACAAAGCAACGATATTATAAACAATGATATGACAATTAAATATCATAAGAAAATGGAATCAAAGAGCATTGTTAAAGTCAAATATTTGTTTTTTTTCTTTAAAAATTTCAGATATATGCTTATCTTACAGAATGAATGGAATTAATATATATAAGAATACAACAGTGAAAAATGAGTTTAATAGCAATTTATCTTGGATTCGTATTGGTCTTCTTTCTACAATAATGTTTACCCTTGCTTTGGTTACTATTGTGGGTAATACAATTGTTATTTATGCTTTACGAACCGATCGTCATTTGAGAACGGTAATATTATGAATGTCTTCTTTTTCTTTCATTTTGTATATCGAAATTCAATAATATTGTATTATTTATAAATGTTCGAGAAACATACTTTAATATAGCATTTTTTATGAAAACTAAAAAATCAATTCTTTTATGAAAGAATAAATTCAATAAAACCTTTCTTATGCGAAGAAATATTGCCCCCCCCTCCCCCATTCTGTTTCTCCCAGATGGTGTGTTCGATCGAGCAGAACATTTGTTGAGAGGCACTAGACACTGTTTGAAGTGGGCATATGTTTATTTTTTGTCATTCGAATAAACAAGACAAAATATCGAAGGTATCTTAAGAAATACCGTTTCTTTTTTGAAAGAGCTACCAAAAATGAACATT